ATTAATTATTTAATAATAATAATAAAATCTTGTCCACGCTAAGATTTCTGTGTGGTTTTACTTTCTCTTTCTGCTTTTGCATTTGGACCACTATTTTGTCTGTTCACAGTAATACATAGCAGTTAAATGTTTATTTCATCAAAGGTAGTTCTCAGTTAAGGGCATTCATTCAGCAAATTGTATCACAGAGTAGGTAATGCTCATTCCAGTTTGCCCTATGCAGGATCCTTTAACTGACTGTGTTATCAGCTGTCCAAGAAAATGCATTGAGAAGAGGCAAAAGATTTTCATTTGATACTCTATGAAAGAAAAAGTAGCATTTTGAAAACTGAGCTCTGGATTCAACTCTGGCAATCTCAGTTTGAAGCCAAAACAAGGTCAAACAGGTAGTAGTTACATATTTTGCAAGCTGGTTCAGGAATACCAGGAATATTCATGGTCTCAGAAAGGAAACTTAAGAGCAATACACATACCAGAGTTTCAGCTTAGAGAATACCACTGAATTTGGTCGATTGTCAATTAAAAAACTTAAAATGGCTGGGTTGTGGGTATTGTGAAGCAAAGAAATCATAAATAATTCAAAAGGTAAGGAAACATCTCATGTCCCTCATTTCCAGTCTCAACTTCAGCCCAGAACCTTTCCTCCACCCTTCCTGGCACCTGGCCCCACTGAGTCATGTGCATGAGGCAGTTGGTAACACAAGGCCTTGGGGACACTGTGATGGTTTATCACACCTTGTTGCTTAGTGTTGTCTTTCTTCTTTCACTTCTCCTTCCTTCTTGCCCATTTCCTGTGCCCTGGCATGGGCTCCTCTATGGACAGAAGATCTCCAGCATGGGGTATCCACAGCCCATGCTCCTTCAGGTTGTCCCAGCCCCGGTATGGGTCACTCGTGTTCTGTAGTCCATGGGTTCCTGTGGGTGTTCCTGTCCCAGTGTGGATCACCCACAGGTTGTGGTCCCTCAAGGATGTCCCTACCACAACTGGGATTGCATATGGGTCACAATTCTTCGAAGTGTTTCTGCCCCAGCATGCATCCCCCATGGGCCACTGTCCCATGCTCAGGGAGTTCCAGCTCTGGTATGAGTCACTCACTGCTGCAGCCCCTTGGGGGTGTCTCTGCCCTGGTGTTGGTCTTTCCCAGTCTGTAGCTCCTCAGAGGTGTGTGCACCCTGACAGGTCCTCCAGGGATGACAATTCCTCATGGTTTCTTCCTCAGCCATGGGCGTCTGCCTTGCAAGTTGGATCTCCAATCATGTCTCCAAGGCTGTCCCCTTTGATATCCCCTCCTGCCTGCCTCCTCAGTTGCATTTTTGCATTCTTCTGTAGGAGTATGTATAGGAGGAGGCCATCCCTCTGGTCCCCTGTAACCCAAATGCTACCTATTATGCTCAATACACTTGGTAAGCATTAACAGGAAATTCCCATTATTTGCATATGTATTTCTGCTTAAGAATGTTCTTTTTTCTTTCTTTGTTTGTTTTTATTTTTATTTATAGATATCAATGAATGTAAGGTATTCCCTGGTATGTGCATGAATGGTAAATGTAGAAACACAATCGGAAGTTTCAAATGTAGATGTAACAGTGGCTTTACTTTAGATATGGAGGAAAGAAACTGTACAGGTAAGTCTTGCATTTTCCCCGATTTTCCCTAGAATCATAGGATAGTTCTGCTTGAAAGGGACCTCCAAAGACTACCTACTTCAACTTTTTTGTGGAGAAAGGGAGTTCAGATGAGATTATCTAACACCCTGTCAGTCTTAAGAACATCCAGTGATGGGGACTCCACCACATCCCTGGGGCTTTTTAAAGGAACTTGCTCTTGTGACATAGCTTGGTGGTCTCAAAACTTAATGTGATTCATTTTGTTCAGTTTCTAAGAGCTTAATCGTTGGACAGAATGGCCAACTGTCTCAAGTTTCCCTTTCAGATACTCATTATTTAATAAATACAACATTTTATTGTTTTAATTGGTGTTTAAGATGCTCAGGTCATGCTCTATCAGAACAACCTGAAAAATCGGTAAGGATCACTGGTGAAGTCAAGTTTAATGTTTTAACAAAGAGATTAGCTTAATTTACATTCCTTTACATTCATTGTATTACCAAACAAACTTAGAGACTCCACTGCAAGTTAATTTTCATTTCGCTTTGAACCAAGGGCACACAAAGGCACCTCTGCAATTCTGAGCAATGTTAACTCAAAAAGATACACTCATTTAATTTCAAAGTTTAATATTTTGTCCTTTACTGCCTGGAAAAACTGAAGATAAGCTTGACAGTTTTCTAGTTATGAGAGCTTGGATGCCTGCATTGTGGGTGGCTCTGTGCTGAAAATGAAGGAGGTTTTGTTATACCATACAGGCGTCTATGAGTGTGTCTGAGTACTATGAAGTGTGGGTGGTAAGGCATGTTAACTGAGGTTGGTCTGGTTGTTAATGCTGCCCTAACTGGTGATTTCCTTGTTTTTATAGTGATTGCATTGATGAAAAATGCATTTAACAAACTTTATTTCTAAACTAACAAGAATAGGTCAGAAAATTTCTGCCTGCAAAAGCTTTTTTTTTGACTTCTCTTTTCCATTTGTGGTGATGAAAATATTCCACTGAGCAGCTGTAGAGAAACAGTTTTTCTTAAATAGATGACTTTTTTTTTTTTTTTTTTGTTTGGTTTAAATTAGCAACAAAATGTTTTAGAAAGCTTGTAGGAGCCCAGATACTTAGTAACATCCCAGACCCACCACATGGATTAGTGTCTGACACTTCCACACTTCTGTGTGTAAGGACTAAACTCATCACCCTGCAGAAGCCTGGCCGTGGGGAGTGACACAGAGGCAAAAGAGACTCTTGCATGTGGTGGAAAAAGAACTTGTCTAAATCTTTAGTGGTTTCTTTAGCTAAGCTTATACTTGCCTAGTTTTCCTCAACCACTTAGGCAAATGAGTCTCCTGCCCAGCTCACCAATTTACTGCAAACACATTGGTGCTCTTTGCTGGTTCCTTGCTCTCTGTACTTGTTGGATGGTGCAACCAACCTATGATTTATCCTGGAATAATGCCTTCATTATTTCAAATACTCTGTTTTTTTTATTGTCTGTAAAGGCTTCATGATTGCTTAATATGTAAATATCAATGACACAGTAATGAATGAAGCTGAAGGTAGAGGGTATAGTGCAGAACATGGAACAAAGGCATTTAACCCTATTTCACCCCAAAAGCACTGGATGGGCAGTAGAGTAAGGAAGAGAGAAGTCTGGAATGATGTGAGAAGGTAGTAAATAACAGACTATCCAGTTCCCTCCAGTTCTCTCCTTCAACTCTGACCTGTTTCACTGGATCATATCCACATTGTGAATTCCTCTTCAGCTTTCTTCCTCACTACCAGTGGGTTTCAAAGAGATGTCTTACTCTTTTTTGGCTATAGTTTTCCACAGCAAATTTAATTCAAAGTTAACTAAAAAGATAACCAGTGATCAGAGGAGCTCCTTTTATTCCTAATGGAAAGAGTATATATGAGCTTATAATGCTATTACTGGATAAGTATCTTCATAATGAGCAATTTAATATCAATGGCACTGTAGTCATGGAGTAAGTTGATACCTCTGTAACAATGGCAACTCAGAGTGTCTTAGAGTTAGTTATTTTCTTAGAGATCAAATCTTAAATTGCACTACATGGGAGCCTACTTGTTACATAGTTTAGTATGTACCCAAGAGCTCTGAAGACATTATATTTTCAATCTTTCACAAACTGTTTCACATTATCAAAGGTTTCTTTAAATAATAAGTTAATTTCACTTTTTCTGTTGATTTATCTACTATATATGTTTCTGTAGGGTTAATTTATAATGGCCAAATATTCACTTCTGTGAAAAGCAGGATAATCTTAAACTCTGTTTGATTTTTTTCCCTTCTCCATTGCTATAAAATAGACATTGATGAGTGCCGGATCTCCCCAGACTTATGTGGAAGTGGCACTTGTGTCAACACTCCTGGAAGCTTTGAGTGTGAGTGCTTTGATGGTTATGAAAGTGGATTTATGATGATGAAGAACTGTATGGGTAAGTGTTGCCAGGATGACGTGGAGTCTCCATGTACTGTACAAAGCCTGACCGTACTCTGTACTATACTAATTCTGTCACACTTCATATGTATAATTATTGCGACCATGAGCACATGAGTTAGATATGCAGTTTATAGGACAGATAACTGAATTAAATATACCTCTTTGCTTGTTCTTATTGCTAATTCCTCCTACGCATCTTGTATAGATCTTTCAGTACGGCAGCAACGATTCATTCGTGTAGTTTAGAAATGGTTAATGGAGTATCCAAATATTTGGGACAGCTAGGAATAGAAGGATGGAGTTTCAAAAGTAGTGTGAATCACTTTTCCTTGATTCTTCTGTGTCTCAGAAAATCCTGAGAGCATTTTCTGAAAAAAAAAATCACATCTCTTTAATCTGTTTGAAGTTGTAAGAATAGGTATGGAGACACCAAAAGTTACTAAACATCTCAAAAAGTCTTGAGTTAGTATTGTGGTGTATCTAATGAAATACATAATGAAATACATAATGCAAATAAAAAGTCTGAGATTTTCAACTTAATGAGGATGAATGGATCTTCTTCTTTGCCTTTCTTGGAGACTGGATTGACATTTCCTCTCCTCGTACCCTAAAGATCCTTGCCTGATTTCCATGACATTTCAAGGGTGGTCAAGAGTGGCTTGAAAATTACATTAGCCAGCTTGCTTTCAGCACTCATAGGTCTCCTCCATATCCCATTTCCCATTTTCCCTCATCATTTTACTGCTGATGTTACACCTCTCACATCCCTTCTCAGGGTCAACTTATGGTGGCTTTGGATTTTCTGACCTCATCCCTGCACACTTAGACAGTGCCTCTGTATTTCTTCTGAAACACTCGTCTATGTTTTTGCCTATTTTATGCCTCCTTTTTTTTCTTTTTATGTTTTTTTATGTTTTGTCAGGAGCTCATGTGCTTGTAATTGAACTCAAATAAGTGGTCCCGTGCCCCTGTGTTCCAGGAGGCCATGCAGTCCTCCTGTCACCTTTACTTGTTTTCCTGCAAATTGCAATGCTTTTATACTCAAAAAGGCAGCAAAAAAAAAATCATTGCATAAATCACAGGTGAACATAACAAAGAAGCTAAACTGTGGAAGCTGAATATCCTTCTTGAGAGACAGAGCATAAATACAGAGAATCAATTCTGTATGACAGAGATGTGTTGTCTGCAAAACAGAGGCAGCAAAAGATGATGTCACATAAGTAAGCAGAGAGTGAGGAGATAAGAAGAGAAATAACTTCTTCAGGGCTTTCTGCAAGAAGTAAGAAAGGGAGGGAATAACATTCAATATGAACATTTTGGAGCTGTGAGGACTATCCAAGCAGAAGCACAGGAAAAGAGATGCTGAATTCTGCATTCAGGCAGTTTCTTCCCTCATATGAATAACTACAATACCCAGTGATGTCTTGGCTAAATTCTCAGGCTAATGAAACACAATAGTAGCCTGCTTGCCTGTGTAAGTTTCTTGTTTCAAGGATACATAGCCATAATTCTTCTTGGGAAGTCCTGGGAGTCCAAAAGTGAGTGCATCTTGAACATCATTTGGTCGTATTTCTTTTCATCCACATCTGTGGTGTTAGCTTGTTTTATCAGTTTTGTGAGTCAAACACTCAGTTTGCCTTTATAAACTGTAGCATATTTCACAGCAACACCATGACATACACAGGACTTACCAAACCCATTAGCCACTTGGTTAAAAATTGACACACATATCCCCATTAACAGCACCCACATAGAACAATTTCAGTGCATATATAATGGTTGCATTAAGAAGGAATTTTTTGACAAAAATTTCATGACATATTACACCGTTCTAAAGACAGTTGCTGTCTTTGTGTCCTGTGTCTCATAGAATACCTGATTTCGAATGATGATTTTCTGGTTCTCTTGAGGGGAAAAAATAGCCATTTTCAGAGTTAATAGTTGCTGTCTTTGTTTGTGTCTTGTATCTCATAGGATACTTAATTTTGAATGATGAATTCTTGAAAGGAAAGATACTCATTTTTAGAACTAATAGTGTATATTTCTTTCTTTCCCTTGTTATGCGGTATGAGGAAAAGAGCAACACCAATGAAACAATCTTTTTATTTCATTATTTACAGACACGAGAATCGCTTTTCTCTTTTTTGCTGCTTAGTAGTAATTTTATGTTTGTATATCATGGTTGCTTTGCAGATATAGATGAATGTGAACGCAACCCTCTTCTGTGTAAAGGTGGCACATGTGTGAACACTGAAGGCAGTTTTCAGTGTGACTGTCCCTTGGGACATGAGCTGTCACCATCACGTGAGGAATGCATAGGTGAGTTGAAACTCAGGATCATGATCTTCAGCTTGAAGAATGGTCATTTCTGCTATGAAAACTTCTAGTCTCTGGCAGGTGTGGGGTCTCAGGAATCTCTCACACAAATTCATGCTCCTCCTTTACATGAGCATCTTCAAATTAAAATCTTAGAGCCTGTAAAATCTTCAGTGCCCTTAATGCTGTTGACTTCAAAGAGGAGTGTTTTACCTTCAAAGAGGTCTCTTAGGGATTATTTAGTGACTCGAAGGACTGTACCACACATGGTAGCAACTTTCAATTAAAATACATACAAACACAAAAAGGTATCGTCTCTTAATGAAGTGCAGGTCACCAAATTGGTGAAACTGTATGAAGGAAGAACTGTGTGCAGTTTTGGGCACCACAATATAAGAAAGGTAGTAAGTTATACGAGAGTGTCCAAAGGAGGCAACGAAGATGGTGAAGGGCCTTGAGGTGAAGTCATATGAGGAGTGGCTGAGGTTGCCTGGTCTGTTCAGCCTGGAGAAGAGGAAACTGAAGGGAGACCTCACCACTGTTTACAATTTCTTCAGGGAAGGAAGTGGAGGTCAAGCACTGACCTCTTGTATTTGACAACCAGCAACAGGACCCAAGCGAAAGGTTTGAGGTTGTGTCAGGGGAGGTTTAGGCTGGATATTGGAAAATGGCTCTTCACCCAGAGGGTGTTTGGGCACTGAAACTGTTCCCCAGGGAAGCTGCCACAGCACAAAGCCCAGAGGGTGTTTGGGCACTGAAACTGTTCCCCAGGGAAGCTGCCACAGCACCAAGCCTGACAGAGTTCAAGAAGTATTTGGACAATGCTCTCAGGCACATGGCGTGATTGTCAGGGTTGTCTCTGAGGTGCAGGACCAGGAGTTGAACTATATGATCCTCAAGGGCCCCTTCCAACTCTAATTATTCTGTGATTCTGTAGGAAAAGAAATAGAAAGCATATTGTCTCTTTGGTTTCTGTGCTTGAAGAAGTGCTTTAAAACAGCAAACTCTGTAGCTGATGCTCACAGACCAGAAGCAGAGAAGACAAACCTTTGGACAATGACTTAAACATGCTGTTCAGAACTCCATTCCTTGAACGGGAACATGCTTAGAACAAGAAAGAAATTGAAAAAAACTGAAAGCCACCAGTTTACAATATTGCCTCACTCTCTTTCCCAGTTAGAGTCTGCATTCTGAATGGCAGTTGATATGAATGATTGTTTTCCAGATGTAAATGAGTGCTCCTTAAGTGACAGTCTCTGCAGAAATGGGAAGTGTGTGAACATGGTGGGAACATACCAGTGTTCCTGCAACTCTGGGTACCAGGCCACTCCTGACAGACAAGGCTGCACAGGCAAGTGTTGTGCACTTTCACGTATGAGTTTGTGCTTCAGTGTGTATTGTTTCATCAGTCTTTGGTTTTATTTCATGTAATACCTTCCTTTAGAAACTCAACAGAGTTGTCTTCTCATCTGTTGTTAGGCTTACCATGAATTGCCATGGACTTAGAACTATAAAGAAGGTATAAAAGTTTGGATGCTGTAACTGAACTCCGCAGAATACTTTGAGAAAAATTATTCATATGGTACTACTCCACTAAAATCAGAGCCTTGAGTTAACAGCAGAAAATATTGCTAGATTTTTTGATCAAGCAAGAACAGTGCCATGCATTGATGGTTTCACTTTTTCTCCTTATCATATACATCTCCTAAATCCTTCACTAGAATAATGCTGAATTGTGTAGTTACCATTATGAAGGAGAACAGAAGTACTGAGAGGTATTTTTATCGGTTGTTCATGTTTATTTTTTTGCAAAAATATAAATTTGTGCTACATTTCAATCTGTAAGGAAACCTAAGTTTCTCAGGGCTTTTCTTTCTGTCCTTTCCACACGTTGTTTTAAACTCTTTTATACATCTCTAGAAATACACAGGAACAAAAGCAACAATGAAATTAGCCAATACAATTAAATTGACTAAATTAACAATTAAATCTGCTCCCACAGATGAAAATGCAGTTGAAAGAGAGAAAAGTGAACAAAATACAAATCAGATGCAGAATAAAAATTCATAATAAAATCGCTGATAATCTGTTTCATGTACTAAGTGAAATGTCAAGAGAAGGTGATTTTTCCTCACAAAAATAGACTTACTGCTGCTAATATTGCTTCCCCAGACATTGATGAGTGTATGATAATGAATGGAGGCTGTGACGCTCACTGCACGAACTCAGAAGGCAGCTATGAATGCAGCTGCAGTGATGGCTATGCTCTAATGCCAGATGTCAGGACATGTGCAGGTAGGTTTTAATACCCTAAAAGCTCCAGATTCATACCTTTCAGCCAACTTCTAGCCCATCTGTGCCAGAGTGACAGGGTTATTATCTGCTTTTTGTTTTCCCAGACATTGATGAATGTGAAAACAATCCAGATATCTGTGATGGTGGTCAATGTACCAATATTCCAGGGGAATATCGCTGCCTCTGTTATGATGGATTTATGGCTTCTATAGACGTGAAAACTTGTGTTGGTAAGTAGCTGTGTGCACCAAATTTAGTGCAGGTCCAAAAATTCTGCAAGTTATGTTTCAAGACGTTCTACTGAGTCCTTGAAAGTGGGCATTGAAGCTATGTATGCTCTTAAAAAATCATCGGTATGTTTCTTGCCTTTTGCTGTAGATGTCAGGAAGAGTCAAAAAAGAATTGAGAAGTCCTTGAAGATGATCAAATCACATAGTTTCAAAAAATGGCAGTGATTTTATTACATTGGTATGATTCCTCTAGAATATCTCTATTGAGAAGGAATTAGTTGTGTGCCCCAGAAGGGCAATCAATTTACTGTATAAATTCTCCTTTGGAAGAAAATTATTATGATCAAGAACATGTTCTTCTTGTAAGAAGAAATTTGCTTCATCATCCTTTAATTAACATTCTAAGCAAATTTGAAAACCCTGTGGTATTTGGACTACTTGTTTTTAGAGAATTTAAAGAGTGGAATGGCTGAAATATATTATGATTAGGATAGATAAATAAATGCCACATGTAGTAAGAGTGATACTGATATTTTCATCGGAATTAAATTGTTCCAAAAAAGACAAAGTGTATTGTTAAATGACAGTACTGTTGAACCAGTGATTAATTTATGTGCACTTACAGATGTGAATGAATGTGATTTGAACTCCAACATCTGCATGTTTGGGGAGTGTGAAAACACTAAAGGTTCCTTCATTTGTCACTGTCAAGTAGGATATTCAGTCAAGAAAGGATCCACAGGATGCACAGGTAAAGCAAATTTTCAGAATAGGTTGATGGTGTGCACGTATCTTGGTTGGCATTCAGGTAAAGTAAATAGACAAGTGAGAAATTGTATATGTACATAATAAGTGTTTCACACCTGTTAGCGTATGTCCAGGGTTTTAAATGGGGCATTCCTTGACCAGTGTCAATGTGAGAGGCCCCTTGCATAACTAATTTTAAAGGCAAAGCTTTTATCAGTATAGATTGTGTGAACATCTGTGTTGTTGAACACAGCTTGGGTGGGCACAGCTGCATTTGCATTAGAAGTATTTTGTCAGTACTCATTTTTCATGTGTACTTAAAGTATGAATTCATCTGTCAACTCAAGCTGCAGGAAATGACCCTGTAGTCCAAGCACAGGAGAAACGAAGAAAAAGGATGATGTGAAAGGGAAAGTATATGCCATCCTTCAACCCGTGCTAACAAACTTTAAAGAATGGTTGTCAATCCACAGGCTCCTGTGGTAGTTAAGCAGTACCTTATTGTTCTGGTTTCGGTTGGGATGGAGTTAATTATTTTTTCCTTCTCAGTAGTTGGTACAGTGCGGTATTTGGATTCAGAGTGAGAATACTGTTGACAGCACACTGATGTTTTGGTTTTGCTAAGTTGTGTTTATCTTAAATCAAGGACATTTTCTTTCTTGTGTCTCATGCTCTGCCAGTGAGAAGGTACGCAAGAGAAACTTGGAGGGAGCATAGCTGGGATAGGTGATCTGAACCAACCAAAGGGATATTCCACACCATATAACGTCATGTCCAGTATATTAAGCAGGAAGGGGCCGATCCGGGGCGGAGGGATGGGGTTGTGTCGGTCCTCTCTGGGTAGTGAGCAATTATATTGTGCATCACTGATACTGTTATATTGGGGGGGTTTCCCTTTCACTTTCTTCTTATTATCCATTAATATTCTAGCTCATTCTGCTCTTTATTATTAAACTGTTCTTATCTCAACCTACATATTTTATTTTATTTTTCTCCTCCCCATTCCTCCAGGTTGGGGGGAGAAAAGGAGGGAGGAGGGAGTGTGAGCGGCTGTATGGTTCTTGGCTGCTTGTTGGGGTTAAACCACGACACTGCCTTTTGCAAGCTGAGTCTCCTGTGTTGAAGAAGATAGGCTTATCCAAAATTATTCATGTGGGAAGGTTGTCAGAATTTTTCCTTTAATTTGGTGTTTAAGAATTTGTTCTACAATTACTAAAATCCTGGAAGAATTTTTGAAACTGAAATGTGCCTGGGCACCCAAAGGTCTCATCCCATTTACGGGTGCAAACAGAAAGAGGGGAAATTTAGATTAGGTATTAGGCAGAAGTTTTTTCCTGTGATGGTGGTGAGACCCTGGCACAGGTTGCTCAGGGAAACAGTGGCTGCCCCAACCCTGGCTGTGCTCAAAGCCAGGTTGGATGAAGCCTTGAGCAACCTACTCTGGTGGGAGATAACCTGTCCCTGCCCAGGGCAGGGGGTTGGCATTAGGTTATCTCTAAGGTCTATTCCAATCCCATAACATTCTATGATTTTTAGACATACAAAGATCAGCATATTTGATCTTTCTGGAAAAGAGCTTTAATTTCAAACTGAACACCAGTTGTAGGAAAGCAGAATAATTGCCATGTTTACAAACAAAGAACAAACCCAAAATACAATTGTCACTATTTTTTATTAATATAGAATACAAAGTAACATCTGCTTAAACATTTGCTTTTTAAAGGACTGCAAACCTGCCCTGTGGAAATGACTGACATGTAAAAAGAACACAAAGTTACATTATTATGTACAATTTATATATTCTGCTGCTCCTGATGTAAATAGTAATAGAATATTTTGTACTTGCAGATGTGAATGAGTGTGAAATTGGTGCTCACAACTGTGACATGCATGCCTTGTGCATCAATGTACCAGGAAGTTTTAAATGTAGCTGCAGAGAAGGATGGGTTGGAAATGGCATTAAATGTATTGGTAAGTGTATGGAAAATAAAGCTTTTGTCCCTCCTCTTTTCCTGAAAGCATGTTAGTGTGACTGTGATTGCTCCATTAGAAACAAAGAATGATCCCACTGACTGCTGTACTCTATGGATAGATGGGTATGAGAGATTCTTACGTTTCAGAGTTTTGGTTTTCTGAGGAGCAGAACTGGGTTTGTCTCAGCTTGACTGTGTAACATCTTACTGAGTTAACTGTGTACTTTGCAAAGTTTGCATGCAACTGCTAGAATGTGCAATATGAAGGGAATTTGGTTTGGGATTTCCTTTCAGTAAGATATTATTTCTGTCACTTATTTAAAAGTCCTGTAGTATATCTAATCTGTAGGCCCTCATATAAAGTAGGTTGAACTTTAGGAGTGGGAAACATGATCCTGCTTTTTCTGGGCTGTTATATGTCCTCTTGCCTTCACATTTTAGTTTGGTGGGAAAAAGTTTGTAATATCTACCATTTTTTTCCCTAACAGTTTGGGATTTATGGAAGAGGAGCTTAATTTAAGAATTAGGCTTTATTGATGGAATATCTCGAAGAAAAAGTACCATATGATGGGATTTTACTGCAGGCCAGATTTCTTAAGCTTTTTAAGCCATATCTGAGAAAAAGGGAAAGCTCCTTGGTCTTTTTCATTATCACTTAATTAAAAATATATGTGGTCCTATTTTTTTCCTATTTTCATTTTAAAAGTCCCAATTGAAGGAAAAAAGAGTTTTTCTGGCAGCATCCTTGTAGCTGGAATAGCTCCTGGGTATAGAGTGTTACTCCAGGAGAGCACTCTGCAGATAGGTGAGAAGGGACTCCATAAGCACTAGCTAGTGCGAGTCATGTCATGGACCCATCGGGCCATTCCCATTAAACATGTCCTTGGGGGAAAGGAAAATCTCTTTTCTTTTTCCTTTTGTTTTCACGTCCAAGGTGACATCCCAGTGAATACCTTGCATCAACTCTCATGAGGTTACATTTCTTTCACTGTCTTCTATTACTTGTTAAGACTTTCTAAAGATGTGGCAGAGTGTCACCTCATTGTATTTCTTTGACTTAGTGGTGTTTTAGCCAATCTTGAATTCGAGTTTTTGACATGGACATTGGGTATTAACATCCAAGTACCGAGTCAGCTATATTCTGTCTGTTGCTTGGAAATATTTTGCCCAATCTCATGCATTTTAAAGTAAAGGAAGAAGTATTAAATCACTATAGATTAATGCTGTATCTTCTAATATGACCTTTGTACATTTATGGAGACTTAACTCATGTTTGCAGTTGTGCTGGTCAGACAGACAGTTAACTGTAAGCCAAGTACACTAATTGCTCTGTTACTGCCTGCACTTTTTGACCCTGATGAACAGATCTTGATGAGTGCTCCAACGGGACCCAGCAGTGCAGTGTGAACGCTGAGTGTGTGAACACGCCGGGGTCGTATCGCTGTGCCTGTGCAGAGGGATTCACTGGCGATGGATTTACTTGTTCCGGTAAGATGTTTTGTGAAACTTGACCTGTCACTGTTCGTCTATTGTATGGAAGCTTTGCCAATTAGATTTAAGCCCAAAGTGCAGGACAATAAATGTAAAAGTGCCTTTTAAGACCAGGATTCTTCCCATCACTAACAAAGGCACCTGGTTGTTTTTTTTTTTTTATTTATGTACTAGTTGGACCCACTGGGTCTGTTTGTTGGGTAAAGTTACTGTCAACTGCTTTGTCCTCATCATCATCTTCATGCCAATTATTGTGAATGTGCATGTGCTGCTTGCAGCAACAGGCTCTCTAGTCAAGAACACTTAACACCATCTCTCTCTTACAGTGGCTGTCATGTAGGCCAGGTCTGTCTCTGGCATCATCTGTTTTCACTTCACTGTATTGAACAAGAATTTGATCAGTTGAGCAGGATTTCATCAGTTACATAGGACTTTTTAAAAAGTAAAAAACAAATTGCAGTTGAAAAATGTTACCCATGATCTCTGCATTTACATTTGCTGGTAAATGCTCACTATTGAGAATGGACATTGTCTGTCACACAGCGAGTGGCTCAAACTGACATGTAAAGGATTATACAAAGTGTAAATATGTTATATGAAACATTAATGACTATGTATTGGGTTATTGTGGGTTTTATCATTTACAGAGTGGACATGTGACACTACCTCTGCTCTTGACTTCTACCGTGCCCTGTAACGTGTCCTTGTAGGCCTTCAGATATTGAAAAGTTGCTAAGAGGTCTTCACACAACCTTCTTTTGGGGCTGTTCAGCCTCAAGAAGAGAAGACTGCGCAGAGACCTCACAGCAACTTTTCAATATCTAAAGGGCCTACAAGGAGCTGGAAAGGGACTCTGTGATAGGAACTGCAGTGATAGGACAAGGGGTAATGGATTCAAAGAGAAGGAGGGGAAGTCTAGGTTGGATGTGAGAAAAAAGTTTTTTACTCTAAGGGTGGTGAAACACTGTACCAGGTTGCCCAGGGATGTGGTGGCTGCCCCAACCCTGGTGGTGTTCAAGGCCAGGCTGGATGAGCCTTGAGCAACCTGATCTAGTGAGGAGGTGTCCCTGCCCTGGGCAGGGGTTGGGACTAGATGATCTGTAAGGTCCATTCCAAGTCTTAAATTCTATGATTATAAGAGTCTATGTGTTGGAGAATGGCTAAGAGAGCGGGGACATAGTCCTGGGAATGCACCTGGGGAAGGCTAAAAAGAGCAAGGACACAGTCCCCTGGGAACGCACCTGGGAATGCAGTGTACAAGCAAGGCACTGGAGATTGTAACTTATGTATAGATAGGGAGTAACTCAGCTGGGCAGATGGCAGATGGCAGGGGTAACTCGTCCTTGAGGGTGAAACAAACAGGTTCGAGAAAA